TCCTTTCTTCTTCAGAAGCGGCTTTGTTGTCTTGCCTGTAATTTGCACATTTAGGCTCTGTAGTTTGTTTATAAAATAGTTTTACACAAACCACTCTTAGCAGTGCAAGCTTCTGAGTTGAAAATTATTCAGGCTTGTTTCATTGAAGGCACTTGGTTTCCATGGCAATTTATAAAAGATGGTGGTTTGGTTTCTTCATTGGAACAGATGACGCAGTTTGGGTGTTCAAGTGGCCGCGAGCAAACTCCGATAAGCCTGTGTAATATGTAAGCCCAGGTTTACCGTCCTGGATAGTAGTGCATGCAAAAAGAGACAGCATACAGTTATTTAGCTTAGCCATGGGAGAAAAAATAATAATAATAAAGGTGGGATGGGGTTAAGGTGGGGAGGAACAGGAATGCTTTAAATAATTGAGTTCGGGTTATTTTCAAGGAAGGGTAACAGCCAAAGGTAAAAGGGCCTACATTTATTTAATTCTCTACGTAAAACCTTCTCGAAAGGAAAATAAATGCCAGCTCTTCACGTACCCTGTTTACAGTGAGGTTTTTGTTGGCAGGCCATTAGGTTTCCATGGTAACAAGCAAACTATTCATTTGAAACAAAACCAGCCGTGACTTTGTGCTTTGACAAGGATTTCTATAGCTCTTTTTTTTTTTCTTTTTTTTTTTCTTTTCCAGAGTTCAACCAGATGATGCTGTAATCTTTTTAGCCACAAAAGCACCTGAAGGTCTCTTCTCTACTCAGGTCAAGATTATCTTTTATGTGTAGTTTGGAATAAGTTATACTTCCATGATGTCTTTTTATCCCCAGTGCTTAAAAAAATTTGTTTTTATTATTTTATTTTTGAGTCAGTAGTCAGTGGAGGAATCTTTGGTAGTTTGTTTTTTCAATGTCCATTTACAAAGACTCTTTCTTCATGCCAGTGCCTGGTGAATCTTTTATAGCCTCTGCCAGGATAAGGTCACCTTCGAGGACTTAGGATAGAGATGAGGACTATAACCGGAAAAAGCCATATATGAACCAAAATCCCAACAGCACCATCAACGGAATCTAAAGATAAGGAAAATAAATGCCAAAAAATAAAATAAAGGAGAATAAGCACTCCACATAGCTACTAACACAACTAACATACAACTTAAGTATATGGCAATTATTTTTGGAAAATATGTATTTTTGGTTGGTTTTATTTATCAGCTTCATTGCTAAGGCAAGTGAAAAGGAAAATAACTTGAATATATGGCAAGGCATCTAATAAAATAAAAATATTTGCATATTTAAAATTGATATAATATGGTATGAAAACTTGTTTATAAGATATGTAGGTGTGAGGTTGAGCTTAACCTCAGAGTTGTGCTAGACATATGAAAGCATGCACATTGAGAAGATGTTTAAAAATCTTAAAAAATGAGCTTTTATTTTTTTTTTCAAGCTTCTAGAAGCATTTGAGATTGAAGACTAAAATTGCTCATAATGCAAATTAGAGAGGGATGGTTTATTGGTAGAGAAATTAACTATTGCAACTAGTAGATTATGTTTAGATCAGCTCATTATTTATAAATTGTGTAAATAATATTCTCTTCAGTTTAACTTTTAGAAGGACTATGAAGTCCGTTATAACTAAAAAATCCCTTCCACCCATCTGCCTTGAGAGTTCTACAGCAATTGGTATTTTAGTTAAAGCCTTGTGTCCAAATGATTCCTCTTAGAATGCATGTTTTACCTAGGGAGCTAACACAGGCATCCCCAATAATTCATTAACCTGGCTAAAGTTACAAAATGACAGACGTCTAGGAGAAAGCCAGGCTTTTAAAATAGAGACATATACTTTTAGCTCATGATGGTGTGGAACATAGTACCATTTACTACCTGGGAAAGGTTGGGAACCTGAGCAGTTAGGAAAATGCTTGTGTCCATCAGGCTGGTCTGTACTTAAAACTAAACATTAATTTCATATTCATGAAACAATCAAACACTATTCTTCAAAATGAACTTAATAAATGATAATTAAATAGACACAAATTTAACAGAATACTTTCTCATACTAAATAGAATATTTTTGTTCAATCAGGATTCTTTTTCCTGATTTATAGAGGTTAAATAAAAATACCTCCAATAAATATTTATATATCTTATTTAAAACCACCACACATTTCTCTGGATTTATTAGTTTAAGAGAAAAAAACTGATTATAAAAATGTTCTATGGTGCAGTAATGAGGTTCCTATGGACTTTCATGGTCTTTTTTCTGTGGCTACTCTTAACAGTTACAGATTCTCCTCTAGGGAGTAAATTATTTTCTCTTGTTTTCTTCCTATGGAAAGTTTAATTTAATTTATCAAAACCAATATACGATATTTCTTTGTGATTAAATTATGAAAACGTAAAATTTCTGTATAAAATTTTAACTACCTTCAGCTAATGAAATGTTACTGTCACTGATTGATGTGTGAAATTCAAAAGGAATCCCATTCTCCTCTGAGGAGAATGCAGGTTTTTCTGTGCATTAAACAAACCTGGTTCCTTTGGGTGTAGTTTCTGGTTTTCTAAAGCAGAATTAGCCAGATGCAGGGAGAAATTTTTACTAAATGTGTTATTTGAAATGCTAAGTGTAATGACAAGAAACTATGAGCAAAATGGCTCATTGTTATACATAATCTTAGTTTTTGTCTTTTTACAATGCTTAAAAATGTAGTCAATTCAATTTATATGAGCAATCAGTGAATAGTTGTACGAATTTGACTTTTAACATGTAGACTGATATCATTTCTTGCCAAATATAGTAAATTAGCAAAGATTCTGATTTGTTCTAGACTT